GACTATATCAAAATCTCGACTATATCAAAATCCAGACTATATCAAAATCCCGACTATATAGAATCTGGACTATTTGTTTTTAATATGTAATTTACGAAACAAATATTATTAAATTAATTATAAAAAGGTTTTAAATTAATTTAAATATGAAAATCCTTATATAATTTCCATTGAAAAACGATTAATTCAATTTTAGATTTATTTTTAGTAGTTCAAAGTAATTTAAATAATTCTCAACTACTTTTTATGCGGTGGCAATCGCAAGCCCGACAACCGAAATCCCGACAATCAAAATCCCGACTATATAGAATCTGGACTATTTGTTTTTATTATGTAATTTACGAAACAAATATGATTAGAACTAATTCTAAAAAGGTTTTAAATTAATTTAAATATGAAAATGCTTATATAATTTCCATTGCAAAAAACGATTAATTCAATTTTCGATCTATTTTGAGTAGTTCAAAGTAATTTAAATAATTCTCAACTACTTTTTATGCGGTGGCAATCGCAAGCCCAACAACCAAAATCCCGACAATGAAAATCCCGACAGTATCTTTTATTATTATAAATTTCTACAATAACATTTTTATGGTAGTCGGGATTTTGATGGTCGGGATTATGGTAGTCGGGATTTTGATATAGTTGGGATTTTGACATAGTCCTGATTTCAAGCGTCGGGACTTTAATACAGTCGACTGTACAGTCGGGATTTCGATACAGTCAGGATTTCGAACGTCGGGATTTTAATAGACGGTCTTTCGGTTGTCGGGCTTGCGATATAGATCCCTTTTTATGATGTAATTTACGAAATTAATATTATTATAATTACATTTTGAAGGTGTGAAAGTCATTTAAATATTCCCAATTATTTGTAATTTCTCAGCTGAAATTTAGATTGAAAGGTGAGTAAGTAATTTGATCTGTGCTGAATATAAGAAAAGTGTATGTGTGTGCACTGAATCTGTTTTTGGATATAAATTAAAGCAATTTAAAGTCGAATTATGAAAGCAATTCCGTTTTCGTTGTGTGAGCACACATTTTTATATTCATCTCACGTAAAGGGGACTCGCTTCATTGGAATAAGTAATACGTCTTCCTTTATGGAAACAGCAGAGAGAGAGAAAGATGGAAAATAAAAGAGAGGCGAAAGAAACGAGACGAAAAAGGGAGAAACATGACCGAGAAATTTATCTTTTCCACTCTCGCAACGTAATTTTTCCGCCATCAGCAATTTACGACCAGTTAAGGTTTTAACATACCACAGAAAATATAGATCACGAACGCAAAACCAATGATTTAAATATAAATAATATAGGTTTGCTTAATATAAAGTTGTCCCCGCACTGTACGTTATAAGTGTACCAACCTATATCGTTTGCTGTCATTGACATAGTTGTCAATAGCAATTGGTAGACTTCACAAATATTTATATCTTACATCACGTTTAGTCTTAATTTAGATTAAGGGTGAAAAGCTTAAAAAAATCTCACTTTTCCTGAAATTATTTGCTCACCTTATTAAATGAATCATAATAATAATATAAAAGGAATGTACGTAATGGTCCACTCGCCATCATCCGACGATTACATAAAATCTTGCGGATTTGCGGCTTCCCTTTGTCGTCTCTCTCTTCACTTCCAGTTGGTTACGTGCTTGTATGCTACCCTTATGAAACTACCGCGCTGTGAATTTTATGCATCGAACATGCACTCGCACCGTGCGGTTCCTTTTAAATCATCGAACGCTATTGGCAAAGAAAAAAACAACGTTTTTCCACCCTCCACTTCACGAAAACGTTGAAAAAGAAAACACGAAAAAGTATAAGATAGAAACATCAACATATACGAAACCTCATAGTTGGATTCACACGAGTGAACACAAAGCGGAAACGGAAATTCCGCAGATTTTACTTTACATAACCGCATCTGAAGGTACGATGAAAGTACTCAAAGTTTATAGTTACATCCATTTAATTAGTTTCATATTTTATTTTGAATTAAGTTCAAAGCGTTTTTTACTTATTGGATAGTTTGATGAAGATTGATGAATGTGTTTCTAATTAAGTTAAAACTTAAATTTACGTAACGGATTCTGAACTTTCAGTTTAGATGTATCAAAGTTGTGTATTTAATTAGTTTAAAAGTTTTTTTTGATGATCAAAGCTTTTCATTTTCATCACAATAAATTTGAACTATTAATTTTAAAATTAAGATCCAGTAAATTTTGTTACTTTGAACAATTTGTCTTCTTTGGATTTCAAATTTTTATATAAGTTTGTACAATTTTTCACTATTTTTTTGTTAAATTTACAATTTTTTCAATATTCTTAATGTTTTCTTCTCTTATTTTCTTTCTATTTAATAAAAATAACTAAATTTAAAGTCTTTGTTTTGAATAATTTTAAATTAAAATTTATTTACATAAAAGATTGCATTTTTTTTGTCAATATTTTGTGGAATATCAAAAGTAATTTAAATAAAATTAAGTAACTGTAAAATTCGAATACGAAAGATGATAATAAGACTAATTTTCGTCTACGAAATTGAACAAGACAACATTTAATAAACGCCTATTTATATGCAGCAAATGAATTCCTGATGAAAGAAACGGGACGACTATAATTTCATCCCCATTTGCAATGCAATTCACCCTACTTTTTTCTTCCCTTCATCTCTACTTCCTTTTTTTTTATTCATTTCATCCCTTTCTGCATTCCAGGCTTTTCATTTTATTTTCGACGCACTCAATTCCGCATGCGACAAAAAAAAACTTGAAAATGTAAAATACACCCCGGAGATTTCGCGTTATGTAACGCCGCAATATATGTATTTATGTAAGGCCTCCGCCGACAGCGCCGCGAACTTTCACACGCAAATCAATACACGTGTTGAAAATTTCAACCCTCTCTCGAGTTGAAAAAGAAAGAAAGAAATACCTGCAAAGAACAAATAAGTAGGATTGCTGCAAAGTATACTTTGTTTCTCTAGAGGAAAGTTACAGAAAAAAACACGTACTTCATTTGAATATTTACAGTTTTGATCATCTTTCATGCATGTTATAGTGGTTCCATTATTTAGTTATAAAAAAAATGCGGTTAGAGAAAAAAAAAAAAGGAAAAGTTGGACATTAATATTATATTAAAAATAAACTGAGTTCGTGTTCTGTGAGCATAAACTGTTGTAATTTGAATAATTCAAAGCCTAGCAGTTTTGCCTTGACTATTAATGTTATTTATAAAATGTATTTTACTTTCAAAATTCTTTGTTTAATTTAAACTAAAAATTAATTCCCAGATTCAAAGAAAGTTTTACAGTAAAAGTATTAAATAAACTATTTTTTTAAGGAATCACATTAAGTTTTACGTAACTAAAGATGTTTTTTAAGAAATACCTGATATTGATTATATTATTCTGAAATCTGGTATTAATAATCTTGTAGTCGGTGGAGACAATCTCAGGTCGCGTTTAACCGAACTAATATTGCTCTATTTCAGTCTTTTCATATAAGAATTTACTTACTACAAACTTTGCCCTTAAATATAATAATCGCATTATGTAAATGCCATTAGCAGCTTACTAATCATGTAACATCAGAAATAAATACAACTTTGCCTTCAATTTTCTAAATTTGATTATAAAAAATGGATCACCAAAGAATAATCCTTTAAATTAGTTTATTGGATATTTTATGAATTTCTTGAATTTTATACGTTTTACTTAAAAATAAATCATCATTAAAAATTAATCTTTTAATTTGTATTTTTTGATATTGAATTTTTCATATTTAATCTGTAAAAAAGTTTCAAAACCGCTGAAAATTAACTATTAATGTTATTTATAAAATGTATTTTACTTTGAAAATTCTTTGTTTAATTTAAACTAAAAATTAATTCCAAGATTCAAAGAAAGTTTTACTGTAAAAGTATTAAATAAACTATTTTTTTAAGGGATCACATTAAGTTTTACTTAACTAAAGATGTTTTTTTTAAAGAAATATCTGATATTGATTATATAATATCTTATTCTGAAATCTGGTATTAATAATCTTGTAGACAGTCACCCTTCGGGATATCACGAATACATCCTCTTCTCTTCAATCCCTTTTAACGACCTCCCATAGGTCAAAACCGGAAAACTACTACCCTTGATCGGTTTAACGAGGGTTCCAATAAATTTTCATTAAGATCCTCTTACTTTGATCCCCTGAACCTTCTTCTGCTTATCCAGTGTTAAACCTTCATTGAATTACAACCAAAATTCTACTTATTTAAATCCCACATAAATTTACAATTATTACCAAAACATTAAAAACAAATTTGATTTTTTTTTTATTTTAATAAATAATTACGCTTATTATATAATATAATAAATATGTAATATTTGTTAATAATTTGTTTAAATTTAACAGTTTTGAAACTTTGAACAGATTTGTACATTTTTTTATTATAATTTTATTAAATAAATATTACTATTACATAATAAATTTAGCAATATTTAGAAAAAAAAAATTATAATTATTAGTAAATATAAAAATGTGGATGCGCCGGGTAAAGCGTTTTTTCATGAAAATTATAGTTGACATAAATTTGTGTATACTGATTATTTCATTTCCTACGCTTTTTTGTGGATCAAAATTGATGCCAAACAAATAACGTTTGGTGCCAACTATTATATCGATTGACCCAAATGTCTACAAGAGTAAACAAGTAGATACTTCAAAGCTTAACACATACATTTGAAATTGCAAGTAAACTGATGTTAATGAGTAAAACATAATTTAAATTTGTATTTTTTTTCTTCTTTTTGATTTGCAGCAAGTGCAGAATGCGTGAACGTGCATTTCGAGAACAAAGACGGCGGTTTCTTCTTGAAGCAATCGCCTCGTCAACATTATGTACCGGGAGGCGTGGAGGAGCCGGGTCCTGAGGGTCAAGGATCTCTGCTTTCGGTGGATCGTTTCACCGTCTTCCAGAGTTCTCAGCCCATCTCCGTAAGGGCCACCTACGGACCCTTCAGCACCAAGCAGACTGTACCGGCTCGTTACGTCGTGCCAGACCCGATTCCACTCAACACAACAGGTAAATTATATAAATCAACTCTGACAATTATATAATTTAACGAAATGAAAATCATTCAAAATTATGTAATTTTATAGTTTGTTTGTGTAATGATCGTTCTCGAAATTGGTGAATGATTGTTTGTTAATCATAGGTTCGCTGCAATATTGGTGTTTACTGGATGCCTTCATTCAATTATCGCGTGCAAATGTTGACTTGTTGAAGGGAGGAGCGGACTAAATTTTGGACAGGTCGAATTAGCTAATTGCCTCCACTTTTCCTCCGACCGTTCTCTCCCATTCGGTTTGTTCATATGCAGCTCAATTTACATCCGACCACAAACTTCTGTTTGTACAACGCGAATTTAATCTTGCTAATAGTCGGTGGAGACAACCTTAGGTCGCGTTTAACCGAACTAATATTGCTCTATTTCAGTCTTTTCATATAAGAATTTACTTACTACAAACTTTGCCGTTAAATATAATAATCGCATTATGTAAATGGCATTAGCAGCTTACTAATCATGTAACATCAGAAATAAATACAACATTGCTTTCAATTTTCTAAATTTGATTATAAAAAATGGATCACCAAAGAATAATCCTTAAATTTCTTGTTTCATTGGATTTTTATGAATTTCTTGAATGTTACACGTTTTACTTAAAAAAGAATCATTATCATTAAAAATGAATCCTTTAATTTGTATTTTCTGATATTGAATTTTTCATATTTAATCTGAAAAAAGTTTTAAAACCGCTGAAAATTTATTATTTCAGTCTTTTCATATAAGAATTTACTTACTACAAACTTTGCCCTTAATATAATAATCGCATTATGTAAATGGCATTAGCAGCTTACTAATCATGTAACATCAGAAATAAATACAACATTGCTTTCAATTTTCTAAATTTGATTATAAAAAATGGATGACCAAAGAATAATCCTTTAAATTTCTTGTTTCATTGGATATTTTATGAATTTCTTGAATGTTACACGTTTTACTTAAAAAAAAATCATTATCATTAAAAATGAATCCTTTAATTTGTATTTTCTGATATTGAATTTTTCATATTTAATCTGAAAAAAAGTTTCAAAACCGCTGAAAATTAATTATTAGAATTTTTCGTTTTATTGTAAATTCAATCTGTTTTTGACATAAATCCTATAGGTTTTGTGCGCTTATGAATGGATACGAGCTCTAGTATTGATTTCTGGTTTTCGCGAGTTCAATTCAATTCAATTCGCAGATATTAATTTCGACAATATACTATGTTTTCAGTTCGTTATATGATTTTTCATAATCTATGTTTTTTTTTCAGGAACGAGTATAGATCTTCAGGAATTAGCTACGCACCATTTGGATATGTCCGCTCATATTGTGCGTAGCGAAATCCCACGCGATTCCCCAGTGCTTAGGGTTCTCTTCCATACCGGAACCGATTCCGGAAGTCGCCGCCATATATTGCTGACTAGGCACCACCAAGTCTGCATCGTTCTGCACGCCACCATGACCTCATATCCATCACTATCAGCTGCCTGCAGCCCCGACGGCGAAGACGGAGTGTGCCTCGCCCAAATAACAATCCCTTCAAACTGGTGGCCACCGCTGCCAACCCCTGACAAGGATGGACGTCTCGGAAAGATCACGAAAACTCCACCTAAACTCGTACAGGTAAATTGATGATTTTTACATTTAGATTATATAAAGAAAACTAGATTTGGACGAGTGGCGGATAAATCCGTCATATTCCTTACAAGAGAACTACATTTAGATTATATAAGAAAACTAGAAGATTGTTTAACCCTTCAAGTCTTACAATGTATGCTTACCAAATCATTGTATATTAGATCCAGGATCAATTTGAACCGTTTTGGACGAGGGCGGATAAATCCGTCATATTCCTTACAAGAGAACTACATTTAGATTATATAGAGAAAACTAGA